AGTAGTGGACATACAAGAAAGCCCAATGACATTGGAAGAAAATAAAACTATAGACATAGTTATACAAGAATCTGAGTGACAATCACAATTGTGCCACAGACCAGACAGACCTGCATTCATCAATCAATCCAAGATGTCTGCTACTCAAAACCTTAGGATGCATAATCTCATCCTGCATTCATCAACCCAGAAGCTGGGATTCCTTGTTTCTTAAACCATTCAGGCATATGAAATTTTTCGTAGAGTGCCAGTCTGACATCCTTCTGTTGAGAGAGGTGGTTCAGAAGAGGAAGTATGACTTCCAGGAGCTGGAAATAAGCAAGAACAACTTATCAGAGCCCTCGAGGGGAATAAGAATAACCAAGTATTTTGAAGAAGATTCGTGGTTTTCGTTAGTGTTCTTTTTTTTTTTTTTTTGGTGACGAGGGAAACCTGCAGCCACTACCCGAGAGTGTGGACTAGGTAAATCTCACCTTATAACTCTAGCCAGAAAAGAACCACAAGGAGGTAAACCACGGGCTCAGACCAAGAAGACTAATAGGCCACTCTAGCTGGGAGTCGAACTTGTAACCTTGTGGTTACCAAGTCATCAGCCTGACTAACTTTTTCGTTTTTGTTTCTGACATACCTGATGGTCATGCGGTTGCCCGGGAGAGAATGGAATGCAAGGAATCCCATTTAGTGGTTGCAGCAAGAAACTAAAAGGGTTGTTATCAACAATAACAATTCTGCATAAATCCTTCGATATGCTACACAGATCCTTCACGTGTTCTCGGTATTCCCTGTGATATGGCAGGCATAGCGTCAGAGACTATCAACCATCAGTGTTAACGATATAACAACACCACTCAAATAAAAACACAGAAAAAAAAATCAGCAAAAGCAAAAGTGGGTATGAAAAGGCCAGGAAGGATGATTTCTATGGACTACTAAAGTCTTATAAGTTATAAACAAAAGACTCCACTTTATATCAGGAATTGGGGGTGTTATATAATGTCGATAATCTTAGAAACTCTACATTGAAGGCACAAAATTCCTAGCATGATTGAAATTCGAGATGACTGACAGAAAAGTTCGGTGCTCTACATCACTCATTGTTCTGCTAAACAAAGGATTCCTAGCTAGTTAGAAAGCAGACCTGCAATGAACCGTAGAATGTGCCTGTTTAGTTTCAAGTTATATTTATTCATTAATTTCTTCTAGTTATAAGGTACAAAATGAAGGGAAGTAAACCAAGACTTTCCTAACTGCAGAAATTGCTAAACGGAAACGATATAGAATTAAATCGAGATATATACAACAGCTATACTTACGTCCTGGTTGTAGAAGGCCTGTATAGTCTAAGAATGAATCGATTTTCAGTATCGATTTTGTCAACAAGGGGCCTCGCATAGCCTGCAGAAACACAATAACCATAGCTGAAACTATATGTAGACGAAGTATTTAGCTCGATCAAAAGAAAGGTACCTTCAAGCCCTGCAGTAAACAACACAAGGTCAGCAAACTCGCTAAGTTGTTTCAGAAATTGGCGAAGCCCGGGCCGTTCAAACACAGTCACATAGTTGATCTTAGGTTTGCCATCACATTCCTTAATTCCCACAAAAAAAACAACATATTAAACAGTTGTACCAGAAAATCTCTTGCCAATAATAATAATAATGTAATTTAGGATTTAGGAACTGGTTTTCACCTTCTCTGAAGATATGCACTCTAGCTCAAACCAATCCAGCCCAGCCTCAGTTGCCTGAGTGCGTATTACAGGAGGCAAGCTCGATGTCTCATAAGCACAAACCAAAGTTTCATCCAAGTCCAGAACAACCTGCGCCCAGCACTCACCTTAATCCTCACCTTAAAAAACATTCCTAGTACCACTGCTAAATCTGTTTTCACTACAATTCTTCTGTTTTCATGTTTTTTTCTCAACAAAAATGAGATCAATGAATAAATTCTCCAACAAAACTGGACACTACAGAAGCATATATATTTATAATAAAGCGCGCAGAAGGGGACTATACCGTGAGTCTAGGCAGACGAAGCTCGTCGACGCTTCCAGCGCCGATTTGCGCGGCGGAGGGCGGCGGCGCCTCCGCAGGCTCGTGAGACTCCGGGAGCTCGACGACCGGGAGAGGCTTGAATTGCGGAGAGGGAGGGGAGAGGGAGGAGAAGAGCTGAGTCAAAGACGGCGTGCCTCTGATGATCTGAACGAAGATCTGGAAGAAGAAGGCGAGCCAGTTGAGGAGCGTCCGCCACACTTGCAGCGTCTTCGGGGCGTAAACTTCGGATGCCTGCGTGAGCTCCGCCATGAAAGTCGCCGGAGTGCTCCGCCTCTGGTGCGTACGCAGTTAGCGTGTGTGCAGTGGCGAGTGACACAGTTATTTGGATTATTAATCGCAAACGAAATTGGAATTTTATTTTTCCATAATTTCTATGCTTTCCCTCCCAATAATCTTTGATCATTGGTCTGAGAACAATATAGTATGATGATTATAAACATGAAACATAAATAATAAATAATAATTGTAATAATAATGACAAAAATAAAAAATAAAAAATAGAAAAGAGTCCGTCGTGGGAGTTGTGGTCAAGGTGGTACTTCGACGAAGTCCGGTCATAGTAAGGGAGCGAGGTGGTCGTGGCCCACGCTGTACAGGAAGCGAGTGGGCTTCACGCAGTTGGATGCATTGGGCCTACTATTTTTTTTTTCTTTAATACATTAAATTTCTCAACTTTATATATGAGAAAATAAATTAAGAATAGATTTTTCTTTGAGTGACGAGAAAAATTTGCAATAATCAGTATTGAACCTATGCATTAGGTAAGTCAAGCCTTGTAACACTAGTTGGCAAAGAACCAAACCAATATAGCTTATTCATATTAAGGTCACTTACTTTTGGAATCAAATTTGAATATTTGTGATTAATAAATTAATCGTTCGACCAATTTAATTGAAGTTATCCCATTAGTCATTATTTCTCAGTCGTACTTGTACTACATCCCCACCCTTAAATTGGAACAATACTTTTAAGATAACCATTAAACATTTAATCATTGAGCTAAACTTTGGGAGTTTTTTTTTTTTTTTTTTTTTTTGGGGGGGGGGGGGGTTTAAATTAGAGGTGAATTTAAATTGATTTTGGTTTTAAAATAAAAATAAAAATAAAAAGATTTGGCAATTATGCCTAACAAAGAAAAGAGCACCCACATTCTTCCGACAAAAAGCAACAAAGTTAAAAGGATTCGCATCGGATCTGCCAAAATGAGAGCCATTAGCCATATTCTTCATCATCATCAAACTTTAAGAAAATGGGAGTTCATGTTTAGTAGATGATAAATTTTACTGAAAATTTGTAATTAATGGTGTGGTGGATTGATTTCATTATAAACATTGAGAATTTATTAAATTTAGATATGGACCATGTTTGATTAATGACGGATCGGTTAATATTTTCTTGGATTTGTCAACTTTGACGTTTTGATCATGGTCAAAACGTCAAAGTTATTGTTTGGTTAACCAACGGTTTGGAACATAGTATTTTGAAATGCGGTGGTACACAATAACGGTAAAAAGAAGAAAAAAAAAAGAAAAAAAAAGAGTTAAATACATTTTAAATGATACATCGGATTATACCTAATTTTGACAAATTTAAATATTTTTTTAATTTTTTAATATAAAATTCATCCATAACGCCAAGTATTATGTTGTCTATGTTCTAAGTATGAATTAAAGTGTAACTATTTACAACTCAACTACAACTATTATGTGTTTTATAATTTTTTTTCACTGTATCCAGGATTTTCACCGTGACTAATCCTCTCGTTAAATTGTAAGCACATTTTTCTCTTTCGAATTATTATCTTTTGGTTAAGGATTGATAAATCATTTTCACTCCACCACATCCCAGGTTATGTGTTCTACACTTTACACCTTTTGTTTTTAAAGAAATTTGGGTATTAACGACTTTTTATAGTTGCAAATGTTTCAGCATATTCTCTCGAAATTCACTTGTTACAAGTAATTCTTGTTGTGAACAACGTTGTATAGCATTTGTACCATATTTCTTTTGCACGTGTACCGATGTCTAATTGGATCGTCCACACATTTCTCCCTCTCACGGGGCAACCCGAACCAATCAACATCAACCAAATTAATTATACATTTAGTTTAGTAATCATAAAATAAAAAATTATGCGTACTCTCAATTTTTATATATAAATTTTTGATGTAAACATTTGTATTAGGAGGCACATAAAAAGAATAGTCACAACGAGTAAAATTTAGAAAGTAAGATTTGAGAATTCATATAATAGAATTATCATAAAATTTCAAATTTAACTCTTTGAGAGCTGTCTATAAGCCCGGATGGCCGGATCAGATATAAGCATCATAGACAGTTAACTTGATAACGACTCTCTATGAATGTTGCTTATTGACTTTTTTCAGTTTAGACCGATTAACTATGAACAATATATGTTAATTTACTTCTTTGTAGTCCTTTGTTGTCTAAGATTACAAAGTGAAATTCACCCAAAAATGTACCTTCTATAGCAACTACGAATTTTCATGTAAAACAAAAAATTCTCCGTCAAATTTTGTCGGGTTTAAGACCAACTCATGTTTAAATGACTCATATTTCGATATCGATAACTAAAAGCTTAGAAAACCAGAAGCCAGAGAAGAGGAACTAACCAAACCCTTAGTTGATTAATGAAGAATGATGAACATTTGAATAAGCACATCATCATGCATTTATACTAACACATCATCCCAATGAACTTGAAAGATTTTGTGCCAACCAAAAATCACAAAAAATTCCCAGAAACATAAACCTAGCTAAGGACATTGTAAACAAAGAATTTAGCAGCTGGGAAAGAGGAAGCCATAAAAAACCTGGAATTGCTATACACGATTTCTCGAGGAATTCAATTATTTTGTGTATGTATTGACTACACCAAAACTGATTCGAGCCCTTCGCTCCGTTGGGAAGCCTCCGGGCCTGAGAACGGATTCCCGCTTCAAACTGATATAATGATTCAAAGAAAAAACAGAAAAACAAAAGAATCCATGACGATTGTATCAGGAAAGCCAGGGGTGTTCTAATGCCTCGGTGGCTGTAGGGCGCGTTATAGGATTAATCTGAAGCAGTTTCCTCACAAAGTCGATGAATAAAGGGTCCGAGACCTGTAGCTGATCCTCCAAGGATGTCTCCTCGGGGATTATGTACTCCAGTTGATTCGTCTCCTGTGAACATAAACTCAAGAATGAAGTAACAGATTTCGCTTCGGGACGAATACACACCATTTCAGCTATATTCATAAATAATCATCAATTAGTCCCGACTTACACTTTTAGTACAATGAGAACATTAGGGCTTGCTAGAACTAGGATGTTTCATGGATAACATATTTCGAAAAAGAAACGAACCTCGTTTATATGATAAAGGTCGTATTCTTTAGTAAAATACTTGTGTGTCTCCTGTCCTTCTAATAGCATATCCGTGTCGATGGGACCTAGCACTCCTATAACACGTGCAAGCAACATCGGGATTGCTTCATTTGGAAAAAGCACCTGCGAGCAAATTTGTCGTGTTTAGTTCACACACAAGAAGGCGGATTAAGAGCAAACCCGGGAAAAACATCATTAAATAATATGAACCGAATGCATACAAGTAAAAGGCGAGTATAATTCGGAGATACCTCTCCAGAGCATAGCTCTGCCAATACGCATCCGAGAGACCAAATATCGATTCTCTGGTCGTAGTGGAGGCCTAAGATAACTTCGGGAGCCCGATAGGACCGAGACTGTACATATAAAGACAGGTTGTCTGTCTGAAAACAACTGCTCCCGAGATCGATAACTTTTATCTCACATCTCCTATAGCTTTTGATGAGAATATTCTCGGGCTTTAGATCACAGTGGATGATTCCCAAACCATGCAAATACTCTAGAGCCACCAGGCATTGCCGGGTTATTGTCTGAAAAAGGGCAAAGAACCCTTATAATGCTATTCGAAGTGAATTTCGTTTCACTCGTAATATATATTATTAAAACAAACCTTTAGCCTCAACATTGTAAAATAAGGCTCGCTCCCGGATTCTCGATTGTATTTCTGAAATTCATACAAGTCCGCTTGCAAAAGCTCACAAACAATGAAAAGATGCTCCTGCGTGGTTTTAACGAGTTAAAAACCGAAGAGTTACTTGATTTTAGTCATAATTGATAGTGTTAAACGAGCTGCCAGAATGGACTTGTGCTTATTACCTGATGGTAGAAGTAATCATAGAGGCGTAATATATGGTGTTCATCCCCGGGATCGTGCTTGTTTACATACTTCAGAAGCTTGATTTCGTCCAAGCTCTGATCGAAAAAGTCCTTGTCGTTTTTTATTATCTTTAAGCAAACACCGATCCCCGTGTGAAGATCGTGGGCCTGAACGACTTTGCTGAAAGCTGCTGAACCGAGGTACTCCGTTATATGATATCTCCCCGCAACGATACTGTTAAGAACGATAGGGAAGTCCTTGTTCTCCTCGAATCCAGTCCTGCAAGAAATAAGCTCAATATCGACCTCCATTAAAATATAGAGCATGACAACTAGCTGAAGCAATGAATCGGGACGTAATAAGCCATGTCACACTCAAATGTTACACTGCTACAAAGAGCTCGAGCCAAGATACACTTCACATATTTTTATGGAAGACATGGAATACGTTATTTGTGTTAGTTATACCTGTTTTTTCGGTGTATAATCCTTAAATTGAACACTTCAAAGTCATCTTCACTAGCATTAAACATTAGAAGCTCGTCTGAAGCATTCCCGCCTTCTTCATCTGGTGCAGCATCTGGTTCATATGGTTCTCCCGAAGTTCGTTTATCATCTTTGTATTCGAAGTCATCAAAGTCTATAAATGGGTAGCAATCTTTGTCAATAACCGGGCTATGAAGGTGAGGTTTGCTCTCGAGATCCCCAACCCAATCACGGGGAGAATTCTTTTCAACAGAGTCTCTTTCTCCCGATTGTTCGTCTAGCAAATCGTTTATATCAGTCAGCTTGAGATCCACAATACCATACTCAGCAGGGTCCCCTCGATACACCACTCCCGCTCCACAACAGCAAGCACAAAGCGGGGAAGAACAGCGATAATCTGCACAATCTCGCTCGCATTTCCCATCACTTCCTCCTCGAGTTTGCAGGCTTTGATCGAAATGGCAATAATCTTTTGATGTTTCATCCTTAACAACATCCCGAGTGTTATCCACCGAGGTTAGTAGACTCTGCTTCCCCGAGTCTAAGGTCATCACGAATTTATCCTCACTCGGGCCAGCAGCGAAATCCGAGCCTCCAAAATCAGGCGGCATAGCATAATCTTCATCCTTCTCCCTGTACCAGAAAAGGTCATTCTGCATATCGAAATCGGGGTAATCTCGGGCCGTTCCAAACTGTGACATTCTATCAGATGATGCTTGAGAGCTCAGACATGTATCACCACCACGAATTCCATA